AGTGTGGATATTAAAAAGAGTATACAGTAATAGATTTGTATAAATAAAAATAGTAAATCGTGTTTAAAATTTCAAACAATGAACTATGGTTTTATTCAATAAAAAAAAACTTGGCTGTAGAAAATGTGTGTATAGTCAAGAAAAATATTTAATGAGCTAAATGGATCACCCTGTATATGTGTATAATGTGAGTCGGTGGTTTTATGTGTATACGCAGTGTCATGCGCTCGTATAATCACAGAAAATAAAAATGCATACATAATATATATATTTTCATATAACAACACTCATTTTTTATTGTTATGCGCTAGACTGTATTAGATATATGCTGTTTGTGTGCGTGCGTGCGTGCATGCTTATATAATATTATAATATGTATCCTCGTTGTTTATATATGCGCACCGTGGTGGCGTCGAGAAGTAATTTTTCTTCTTCTGATGTTGTCTTTTTTTGTTAGAATCACGTCTGTATTATATAATATAATATATATAATATAATGGGGGAATATATCAAATTATGGGGCATGCGATTTTCCAAAAATGAGACGGATGAAAAGAAAATGACACACACACACACATACTCATTGTTAGGTTAGGTGTATCGAATTTGATAGTAATAAATCGTTTCCTAAATAAGGCGTATCGAAATAGAATAAAAATATAATATTCATTTATATTGTTATTTTACTGTTTTGTTACATACATATAATATCATTACTAAATAAATAGATATGATAACAAAAATCAGTTTTCGACTGGTTGGCGAATCTCCCCCCCCCCACACTATTCTACACACAAAACTATTACCTACTTGAAGTTCACAAAAATTCATTGGTCATGATAATGGAATATAATAGAAGTGGAGAGTTTGCCGAAGTAAGGGTGGTATGCGTATCACAAAGTTGTGATCATACATATTTATTTAGTCRTGCATAATATTATACACTTGCGACTTTGTGAGTTACAGCTATACATAGTGTACAGTGCACAGTCTTTGTCCGCAGTGGGGGGTGAGGGAAGGGCACATAAAAATGCCTGAATCAAAGATTCTCGGGAATTTTTAAAGGATTAATTTACAATTTGTTAGTAATCACGGTTAAGTTWACCGTAAAAATGTACTACTTGTTCACAATCACATCACAGTTATCACAACGCCTCTAAATAAACAATTTTATAATTMTAATAAACTATTTTCAATGTGACTGCAAATTTTTAAATTTTTGGATGAATATTATGTAAATTATAAATAATATATAAACGTAAAATTAAAATTAAATTTACATTAATTTAAAAAAAAAACACGGGCCACGGGGGAGCAGTGCCCCCTCACCAATTCGCATGCCTATGCAGTGTACACATCATTCATAAGTTGTAACAAAAACCAAATCTAGATATTTAGAAATATCGCCATAATATATTTGTATTTTGAGTTTTGATTCATCAACTAAATTAGTTAGGTTTAATAGGGATATGGAAACTCGCGTGGTGGTTATTTTAATATCTTAAATTTATTATTCYAACAACTATAAACATYTTATGAAAAATTCAAGATTCGTAGGTGTAAAGCATTTTAAAATATTGATCATATCATTTCCACATTTAATATTAATTGTTAGTAAAAAACTAAAAACAGTGAGCTTTTGAATTTTTTGAAAAACCTCTATTTTTGTACTTTATTAATAATACACAGGGTTAGAGGCTGTTGGTTTAGGTTTACAGTGTCATAAATCATAATAATATTATTTAATTGTAAACCAAAATCACAAAATGAATATTTTTTCCTTCAAAATCTTAAGAATGTATCTAGACAGTAGACATTAACTCAGACGTTTAAATTAATCACTGACGTTGCAGAGCATTATGATCGTTTGAAAAATAAAATAAAATACTCAAGTAAGTTATACTTTAAGGATTATTAGTAGATACAATAATAGTTAAACACGTTCGGAGGGATTGAGAAAAAAAATCCAAAACTGCGTAACGTACCTTTGCGACCAACGTGTGACTGGTCTTGTCGAACGCCGTGTAGTAATCTGTGAACGTGTTGACGGACATGAGAAACATCGCCATGATGGACTCGGTCGGCGTGGGCATCGGGTTCAGCACGGAGTCGTCAATTCCCTCTGGCGTCAGCGGATTGTCATAAGACAGGAAAATCACGTAATAAGCTGTGAAATCAAACGTTTTTGTATACATAGCTACTATATAATATACTTTTTATGCCTTTTCCGGTCGGAGCGATTGTAAGCATTCCGTTTGCGCACATATTCCCGAAACGTGACCCGTTCGCGCACACTTATTTWTTATCAAAAGGATCTTTTGCGTGCGCGTMACCGTTTTCCGCCAAAGTGACCCTCAACCATTATCAACATTACCATTTTCCRACCAAAAAATGTATTTATTATTTCGAGGACCTTTGAACCTAAATCCATCAAATTGAAATGGTTACGATATACACGTGCCTTACATCTCACTTCACCTTATGAAGTCACTTTATCATAGCAATATCACTAGCTTAGTGTCAGTTTAGCGTTTGGTTATAGGTGGTAAGTATAAATTGTTAATTGTTGTAGTATTATTTATATCGGAGTCGGTAAATTGCGTCCCCCAAAAAAGGTCATAGTTATATACTACGTAAATTGCGGCCAATGTACTTTTAAAATATACGTAAATTGCGTCCCGGGTATATTTGAAATGTACGTAAATTGCGGCTTGGGATATTCCGATTTCCGATCGGTTGTACAATTTAAAGATAACTATTAATCTTTGAATGATCGATTTAGATAATAATAATATGTTCACTTATATAATATATTACTAGCAGTCAGTGTGCATTTGATCGAAGACCTTATTTAATAACACATTATTACTAATTGCTAATAAAATATTTTTTAATTAAAAACAAAAAAAAAAAACAGCAAAACCAATATTCTTAATCATACCAATACTGATACAATTATACTGACAGCTCCACAGCCCTAAGTCTGGAAAATGAGAAGAAAATACYGATTTTAATATTATTGATAAAAAATATTTGGGTAGGCAATAAAAATTATACTCTGCAGGCCGCAATTTACGTATGACGTGCAAAATATGCCCGGGCCGCAATTCACAGCGACCCATTTATATTAAACACAACTGCAGTTTAAATAATTAATTTTGATATGATTTATATTTTATGATTCGTACATAAAATACGAATATACGATATTACAAGTTGAAGGTAACTATAGTGTCYAGTACTAACTACAACCATTTTATTCGAGTTTCCGGTAATCTTGATTTCTGGATTAAAATATAAGAATATAATTGGGTGGTCGACTATAGCTCTGGAGATATTAATCCGATCAGCAATTCTGGAAGTACCATTGGACATCAACTCRAGGGTTGGGGGTCGGTTGGGGTGTGCTGCAGCTGTGCAGGCTCAGTGACAAAGATACTAAGATGTTTAGGAATATACTTTTCAAACTGTAGGACGTAGGTAAATATGTGAGATATCACATAGTCAGTAATTTATAAGTTGTGAGTTAGAGTGAGGGTTATGAATCAACAACCGTAATTTATAATTGACAAAATAAAATGTACTACCTATATAATTATATTAATTGTCAATACTAATTTATATTTTCAAAATGTATTTATATCATAATGGCTATATATTGTAGTACAAATTATTTTTCACCATTTTATTAAATATAATACTATAGAAAAATAAACAAAGTCGTGGAGGTTTTGGAAGGTTCTACAACATCCTATAGCTCCCCCCCCACATTTAACTACGCTATTGCAATCTAAGTGCTTATAAATTTTAATAATGATAACCTACTGTGTCATCGTATGGATACGCACCTACCAGCAGCGGCTAAAATAGATATTTTCTGTATTACGTATATACTTTATATAAAACTTAGCGTTGTGGGAGGGGCTTTGCCTCCACACTTTTAAAGTGTATTTAATCTATATAAGTACATATAAATATGGAATAGTTAATTTCTGTTTTGCTTTATCTAAAGAACAGGTACACATACTAGGTACATCAATCAAGGTATAATAATCAAGCTTGAAAATCTACCTAACCTAACCTATACCTATGGTTAAATCATTTTCCATAAAGTGTGTATAATATTTAATTTACAAACTATGGATAATATATAAAAATTTTGGTAATAGGTATTATGATAAGATTTTTGTTTTGAGTTTGAGACCGGCAATCATGATCACTAACCGCTATTGTAGGGTTTACAGTTGATACGTTTAGTCCATATATTCGTGAGTAGGATTTGCCACTAAGAACCAAAGTGGTTGACCATCCGGGGATTAGTGGCATCAGCCACTGCCATTGTTGGCTCTTGGACACGTCTTGTGAAGTGTTTATTTTATATTTGKTAAAACGTAAAAACGTAATATTATTTATTAGATTATATTAGACTATTAGATCAATCAAAAATTAAATGAAGAAAAAACAGTATAAAAATACAGTTAGTTGTCACTTCAGGCATTATACAATTTTAAATGTTGTATTACACGCTTAAAATTTCGTACTATACAAGTACATAAAGTGTGTCGTACTTCTCACAATTTAAACACTGGTATACCTACGCAAACAATTTAGTAATGATAATATTCTCACCTTGCGAAAATCCCATCACAAACACCATGTAAATGGAAACGAACCTCAGCAAGTCTCCCATCACCATCCTATAGATCATCACCACGAACGGCCCAACAGTTTTGAAACCCCTGTTGGCGAGAAACGTCCGTTAAATGTATCGTAGTCACTTATTATAAATTAATTAAATATGGTTTATTGATCAAAATTAATATGATTATGAATAATTATGTATTATCGATCGTAGGATGTCAYGTGTGTCTATGATATTATATGTGTTAGTGAATTAGGCACACATTAAAAAGCCAGAAACGAATTTGAACGTCAGAAAAAATCTGACATTGATAGATTCTAAAGGTAAATAATAKTTAAGAATAGATTCAAATTTAACGCAAATATTAGAATACAATTTTTAGATCGTAGCTAATCGAGAATAATTTTTTTTAGAAATTCATCAATGTAGCATAGACGCAAGTACGTTATTTAAATGCATTATTTATTATAAAATTAATCAATTTTAAATTAGATTTTTAGATTTCCTAAAATCCTAATGCTGTTTTTTGATTAGGTACCTTAACTGTTTTAATTTAGTTGACTTAAGATTTAACCTGTGAGTTGAGCAAAACAGTATTAAAATATCACTAAAATATTAAGTCAACATTGACCATAAAAATATGACGCAACGATAAAAACGCCTAAAAAAATTGTTGGAGCTCAAACATGATTTTTTAACTTTTTTCCTAGCTTAAACGTTTCTAGTACTTAAAAAAAAGATTTGTATTTGCATATAAGCCCATTATCTTCTTACAATCTAATATATATGGTTTTTTACCTGCAGAAGAACAAAAAGTACGGACAAGTGGTCAACATGATAATTACGGCTATTATGTCTTCGGCTTTGTCGTAGCACATCATTCTTAGCGGTGGTATGGTCATCATGAGGAGGCACGAGAACAGAAACATCACTCTTGCCGGTGCTATGGCCTGTGTGGATGCACACATTTATGATATAAAGTATTTTCAGTTAAATTTTTTTTAAGATTTAAAAATAAAATTAAGTTTCAATGTTTTTCATTAAAATTTAAAGGAAAAACGATTTTCAATCTTTATAACTTAGGTAATGGATAGGTTTAATTTAATTTTTCCTCAAAACTATGTTAACTCAATGTTTATTTTTCTTATCAATGGTAAATTATTTTCACTCAAACAAGTTGATTTGTATATAATATTACGTTATTATTTAGGTAATTAATATGTACTTAGTGTAACATAATGTATTGTGTTTTASAGATCGATAAGAATGAGCCAATCAGATGTTTTATGTCAARTAGTTAAGTTGAATTTTTTWAAAATATTAACTTCACAGACGTAAATAAGTTGCATAATAATATTGTTAAGTAAAGTTAGTAACTAAAGAAACTTATGTTAACTGTTAAAAGTTCGTAATCGTTTTTCACTTCACTAATTATGTTAAACGTCTATAACAAAAGAAAAATAATATTGAAAGTAAGCAAATTATTAACACAAATTATTTGTATTAACAGAAAGCTTGTGTATTGTTGATGACTTTGTTGGTTACTTATATAATATAGCGTTAACTTTAATAGGTTACTGCTTAAAGAAAAAAWGTTCTTAGGTATATAATTGTATTGTTGTAATCGATATGGATACCAAACATTTATTCGAAACAAATAATAATAAATCTTATCCACCAAAATATTAGAGTCGAGGTAATTTATGGAAAAATTACTTTAACTTTTAGCGTATGACTTTTGAAGTGTTTAACAACTAACAACCATACCGGAATAATATTTTAATCAGTTTCAATAGATTCCACAGTTTTGTATAACACTGTTGTTGTTGTCTTGCCATCGCCACGACACCACTCGAATATGTGTAGCAACAACAACAATTTTAGATATACCTACTAGTAATTTGTATAGGTATAATGTCGACAGGATATCTCGTGACTAAACTCGCAATATAAGATCAAGGGAAAGTATACTTATCATGCTAAACGAGTTTAAGTTAAAAGCTTAAGCCGATTAAAACTTGGCAAAGTCCTCATAAATTAAGTAAGTACTTACCAAGTAAACATATATATATTTTTAAATAAAATATAAATAAATATAATTGAAAAATAACTTTAATTTTGTTTTTACGATGGGTATTCTGGACAGGTTATAAATACATGAATAATAAAAATTGTTGTTTTTTTCGCGAAAGTGGTGAGAGAATGATGTGATTTTATATTGTTTAATCAAATTCATGTGTTTGTCTGCAGCTGTGTATTTTACTCCGTTTAGATATAAAATAGGGATAAAGGTATTGATTATAAGTTATGCATAATTGATGAAAGTTTAAATTTGGATTTGTATGGCACATTTTTCAATTACATTTATAGGGGATGCGGCCTCCTTCTAAAAACTTGGGTTTTTTCATTTATGGTTATCAGTAATCAGTTATCAGTTATCAGTTACCACGGGTGTAATTARGATGATACTTAACATGAAGGCRCAATATTAATTAGTAGGTAATTACAATTAATCTAATGTAGTTATTAAGTTAATGATTTTAAGCATAAATAATATCTGTTTACTGACCAAGTTTTCAATGAACATCTGCGTGCCCAAAAAACCAGCTTCCCTGACGGCGGCTAGTAGATAGAGGAAGGCTCCTACAAACATTCCCACTTCCGATCCCATTCTGATTAAATCGTCAGTCGAGTGCACAACCATTAATCTGCACACCTTTTGACGCTTGTTCCACCAAAATTTTCTCGACTGTTGACAAAATTAATATAAGTTCACCTTCACACTCGTTTAYAAATTATAATTTAAAAATCAAGTTATGTAAAATTAAATGTTGTATCTTGTAAAGCCTTATAAATATAATAGATAAAAGAAACATTCAAGCGATTTGAAATAAATTATACGAARTTGATAATCATAATACTGTTTGACAAATCGTCTTTAAATTGTTGATTGTTGGCTGTCGATGACGAAATAATATATATAGATGATTGATTATTTTAAAATTGGGAAGAGTAAAATACTAAATTAATATTTTTTAAACCTTAAGCTAAAATAATGTTTATCAAAATATATTTTTATAATTATAATTATTTTTTTATATAATTTTATAATAATTCATCATTTTTTCCATTAATTTTTATCCTATTAATTTAATKTTACTTTACGTTTACATATAGTTTTTAAGGGTTTAGTATACATTTTTATTGAAGTTAACATAATTTATTTTATACACTCTAATTTCAACGATTCGAATTTTCGGGAACTAATTCAAATAAATTCTGTATTCTTATATTTTAAGTTCAATACATAAGTACAACATTGGATTTTATCTCACATGAGTTACACGCTTTCTTACATTTTTTTTTATTGTTGTTTTAATATGTTATGATAAAAGTAAATAGCAAAAACAATTTAATGTCAACTGCAGCTATGTCGTTGTACAACTGAAATTACTTATTTTCTAAACAACAATAATAAAGAGAATGTTAAAAGGGATAAATATAAAAATATTGATATATCGTGATAGTTTTATATTATCTAACTCATTCGAATTTCCGGACATAGTGAATTAATTKGTATAAGAAAAATAGGTTAAATAAATCCTACTGTTATTTAATCTTCATTTGGAGCGCAGTATTCTGCTAACACAGTTTTAAATACGGTTATTATTTAAACGAATTATTATAATGCTACTTTTATAATTTATTTTATACCAAAAAACAAAATATTTCATAAATTATACATGGCTCGTTTAATTTTTAATCAAAGTATATTCAAACCAGCCAATGTGATTTAATGCATACATTTTTTTAAAGTACCAAACTTGAACGAAGAAATATGAAAAACTTAATACTTATATGTACTAATTGATAGCACATATTGTATGAAACAAAAATATTCCAATTGAGTCTRTAGCTGGGGAATGAAAAATAAATTACAGTGAAACCACAAAAAAATGTTTTTCTCACAAAGTTTGATGGGACTCGGTTAGTATTGTAATTTAAATTGCACGGGACTCAATTAGTAGGTATACTTTAGGTATTTACCAAAATAAAAAACCTCTCGACTCAATTTGTTTTTAAAGGATTYATTGAAACTCACTTCGTATGCAGCCGCATATCTTATTGTAGGTAAGTAGGTGCTCGAATTTCCTAGATCCCAATTAACATAATATATAAATTGAAATAATTATGCAATAACTTCACACGCATGTGATGCTAATGTATCATTGCTTCCATTATTTTGCATAACATTTATCTCCCGTAAATTTAACTCAACGGTAGATACCATTTACAGTACAAAATATATACACACATGTTAATTAAATGCTGTTTGATAATAATATGACTATGTATTATATTCTGAGAAATGTAGAGTTAAACCCATTGTTGCCAATGGCCATAGTTGCCAAAGCTTAATTCAAATAAAAAAAAAATAATATATTCTGAGAATTTTTCAGTCAAATAAATAGTTGATTAATGCAATCATAAGTATCTAATATATATATATATATTGTCAATATAAAATAAATAATAAAAAATAAATGAATATTCAATTGGCAAATAAATATTTATTATAGGTAGATACTTTTTAATTTAGTATTTTATAATAAAAAAAGTACTTTTTTCTATACATATATTATGTATACTTTTAGAAAACTTAAAATGCCGATTTCATCAAAATCGTTTCCTGACAATTTCACATAATACGGTACTTGTATACAGTAAGCGTGTTAAACATTTTTTCTTTATATACTGTTAAGACCTCAAACTAAAAATCCAGTACGTTTTAAGTTTTAAGATTGAACGACGATAATATATGTGCAAAATGTCTCAACAAATCTATACATATYTATATTATTTTGATGGTGACTTTTCACGAGAATTTGAAATGTATATATATTATTCCAATCCCAAAAACCTATTTTATCTTCTCACGATTTCTTTGTTTAATTCCTCGGGGGAGAGATATCCCCCCCATCGGCAGGAGGAATTGGATATTTTTACTGTCAAAATGTACAATAATATATTAAAGTATACCCTATATCAACATGCATTAACTATTCTATACATTCCGACGTGCCAAGTAACGTGATCATGACTTATCGCAATGTGTATTATTATAATGATAATATGGTGTCGCGTGTGCCGCCTACTTTGTTGTAGTTGTACGTGTAGTTGGTCTTGAACGTATGGTTGGCCGGATTCCACGTGCTCCTGTGTTTGCCCCTGTCCGAACCCGAACTCTTTCCGTGCAAGCTTACGGTCCCACTCCCAACACTCACACCACCGTCATCGTAGATCAGTGGCGTCCTGATATTGCTACCGTTATTGGCATTGGCGTTCTCGTTGACCATCGCCATTTCCGTGGTTATCCCCGTGTCGAATTCGGTCGGACCACCAMCACCGATCATCATCTCGTCGTATATGACGTTGTCGGGCAACATGGATTCGTTGTCCACGAAGTCAAATGGCGTGGTGGCCACCGTGGTCGACGTGGAAGTGTAGTTGATTAATGGCGGCTTATGACCGGTGGGCGGTGGTCCGGGACGCAGCACGAAACATACCATGGATATTGAAAAGTAAAACGCGAACAAGATGAATTGCCTATAGAACCTAAATGAGAATATCGATTTTAATTCACGTTCGTCAGTCACTATCGACAAACACTTTCATTATTTCGATTTTCACCAATTACCTACTTCTAGGTTCTAGACATGATATAATTTTTTAATAATTATTTCTTTTTAGCTATTTATAGTCACTCAGAATATTTATTTTCATTAATATTGTGATAACAGTTTTTTTCAAAGTCATAATATAAGGTTTCACATAATTTAATCAAAAAACCGTTAAGAAATTTCGAATTTCTAAAAAAATTTAAGTTTAAAAAATATGTTTATAGCTAAAAATCAAAATATTTTTTTTTAATTTTATACAAAGTTTTTCAGAATTTGTTTTAAGTGGAATTTCAAAAAAGCTTACTATAGAGCTACACTAATCTATTATGAGTGTTTGAAATTAAAATTGTACAAAATTCAATTATCAGACGTAAGTCATATATCTATAAATATTGTATTTTTGATGTTATTCAAAATATATTAATAACTAATATGGAAACTTTAAATATTATATTTAAAATCATAATTTCTTATATGCAACAAAATGCTCAAAATATTTAGATTTCTAACTAAAAAACGGACCATTAAGAGATAACTAAACCTAAACAGTGCGCGCAGAGTAAACGAAACAAAGACCCTACCTCGAATTTCGATTTAACAATCATTGCGGACGCGCAATCCGTGGTATTCTAATCAGTATTCGGTTCAGGTAATATACAAATAATTTAGTTGAACAATTAAGACACAGTTCGTCTTGTAATATCACTTCGYCAATTCGAACATGCAACACGCAAACGTAGATAATAATATTATATATATAATCATCGCGTGCCACACTGTGCGTCGACAACTATGGACAGGTAATTTACACTCATTTTATGCCAATCCTGTGCAATCGACGCACTGTTATTTTGCTTATCAATTTTAATAAAGGTCTACCCATAAAAATATTATACACTCAACGCATTTATCCACGTACCTATATATATGCGTAATTCATAGTAGGTTATATGTATATATTTATATTTGTATACAAGACACTCGTGTTTTGCAGGAACGCATTGTAGTTGGCATTTGAAATCCCGCTGAAATAGCCGCTGTGAATTGGGATGATTTTGTGTGTATGTGTGTGTGTGTAGGGGGGCAGTGTGTGAAAATATGGTCCCGAAGCTATATCGCTGAGAGACGTTGAATATTTATATTACATGTTTTTATTTTATTTTTTTTTGTTATCTTATTATTTTCATTGATTTATATGGCTCACGGGACTCGCCTGTCTGTCACACCGACGACACGCGATAAAAACGAACAATACGAAGACGTGCACGAGTTAACATATTTTGTATTAGGTATACTTACATACATGCAACGTACCTGTATAATATGTTTACATAAACTACTGAGGGTTCCGTGACCGAATTTTCTTCTTAGAAGACTAAGCGGTTAAAAACGTAGCTTTTTTCAACGAGATATATGATCGATGATAACTTACTATATAGCGTGGAGATGATGATGTCCGAGTATAAATGAATATTATATATTATTGATGCGCACGAGAGGCTTGCATTAGGGCAACCATTATTTACACGATCTCCTCCCACGTTCGGACTTGCAAAATATCTTCTTTGGCTTTACATTTGAATGCGCAGATGTAATGTAAACGTCTGTATTGAATGTTATTCAATCAGCACGATGATATTGCGTACGCTCGCACACCGACAAATGAGAATTCGAATAATATTATAATAATTTTGAAAGTTATTAGCGATCGACCGTGTATTCTACAACAATGRTTTAATATTTGTATATACATACGACGTACATTAAACGCATACCACAATATATTTAATTATACCAGGTCTGGTAATCGTTTCAAACGACTGCTTACGAGCAATCAGCTTTGCGTCTGAATAAAATAAGCGTATACCRCTGTTTGGAGCAACGCCTATTATTATATGATGCGTGTACCGCACGGTTGTAATCTAACGGCCGCGACGAATCGCAAGTTGGTCAGTTCGGTTGGAATGGCGAGCACGTTCCTACATTTATCATCCGAATGTGCATAGTTTTAAAGAACCGGAATTTAAAAAAAAAAAACCAAACTCACGAGTTCCGGTTTTACTACAGCAGCCCGGAACTTTAATGAAACTTTCGAATCGGCCGAGGGAACGACGGCGAGAAAACGTTTATATTATAATGACTACATTACCATGTTCACTTAAATATACGATATATTATATCCTCTCGTGCGAGGAGAGACGGCGTTAGATCGATCGATAAAAATTCTCCGAAACAAAATAATAGTGCGAACGCATACGTTTCGAAAATAATATGGAACTGCAGCAGGTTTTAAACACAAAGATCAACAGTATACATTTTCTTATCCATAGAATTAGTTGTGTTAATATTATATTAATTAAACGGATAGCCTTAAAGACTTTATTTTAAAACTTTATTTTTTTACGCCATTAAAGAAGTGTCCTGCAATAACGTAAAACTATTTTTTCAAAGAAACCTACCTATTTTGTTGTTATTTTTTTGAAAATGTTGATGTATCTAAATCGACATTTGAACAAATAGTTTTTTTTAAGTTATTAAAACGTATATATTAATATACGTATAATATTAATCTTTATGATGATTTTATAAAATAGATGTATTTCTTACTTAGTCAAGTGCGCATGTTATACTCAAGAAAATGTTTATAACTCATATAGAATTATATAAATTAAAAAATTCAGATTGTTATAGCCTCCATATTATCTTCTCATTCTATAGTCATACGTATATTACACAAAACTAAATAAACTTAAAAAATTAGATATTCAAATTTTGATTTATTGGTATTATATGGTACATCATATTATTGTTTTATGAAAATCACCTTACATCCTATGTGTGTATAGTAAAAAAGTGGTTCTCAAAAAAGGAAATTTATCATCATTATAGTAAAAGATTTAAAATGTAAGTATTGTTAGATATTATAGTACAGGTATACTTTACAATTTCAAAAATTATAATGTGAATAAATGCATAACTACAAGAAATATGGCGTACATTTAAAAAATAATTATTTGACGTTTGTTCTCGTCGATTACATATTATTGTAGAATGTAGATATACCTATTGATAAAGCTATTTTTACTTTTTACATTATTTTATTTATATTAAATGAATTAGTATTATATAGGATCGTATAAATATTATTATCATAATAAGTAATTAGAAACATTGTCACATATAGTGCAGTATAATCCAAGGGATAGGAGATAAACGAGCTTCAGCTCCTTCTATCATATGTTATTAAACATTATTGTTATATAATAAAAGACAAAGTACAAACCGTTATATTTTTGAAAACGATAGGTAGTATCAAAACGAAAAAAAAATCAAAAACGTCTTATCAAATATTTGTAGAGGTAATTACGGTCACAGGATACAGTAATAACTAATAAGTAATAACGACCTAGTATAAAATAATGGATATCAAATTTTGATTTGCTTTGTTTAGTCCCCTCCCTCCATTGAAAAATGCTGGGTACCTGCACCACTATAGTCACATGAAATATACGTTATTATACATTTTTAWTGTAGCTGCATAATAATATATTATTTCTTTGAACTCATCTGAAATATCATAAGTCATATTATACCGTAATTAATATATTTTTATAATATCACGAAACCTTGGATCAAAACTCTGGTTGTATCAGGTCACATTTGTCAGTTTGGACGTTTCTAAACCCGAAGTGTGCGTCGTGAGAATTTTAGGATATAGTTTCTCAATCTAAATCTGCATGACGCAATTGCACGTACACATACTGTTTATCGTATAATATATATTATAAACTGTAATACACGTCATGTAGTGTGCACACAAGTACCTACATGAACGCCGCTGGGGAAAATAAATTTCAGTAGGTTTTCAAGCCGATCCTTTGCTTAAATTATTTGTGACCGTTTCTTTCGCCAACACAGGTGACACACATTATTATTAAAATAATAATAATAATAATAATAGTACGTAAACACGAATCACGTTTTGTTTGTTCTACGACGTATAAAACGTGACCGTAATACTTTTGTCCATGATTTATTATTTTATATACTAGGTTAGAAGGTCCTCGYACTGGCGGCTTACCGGAATTTCACGAAAGCGTTCCATTTAGCATTTAGCAGATCCACCAACACACCGTCCATCATCTCCAAGTGTTCTGGACTTTCCTATAAAACACAATCAACATGTTAATGTTTTTGATGTGGTGTGGTTGCATATATTAATATGATATATTATTTAGACATTAAGTTATTTTGTAKAGTATTATTTAAACATAATAATCAAAATATGATTATATGTAATAAGTGATTACAACGCTACGYCGTGACTTTTCCTAATTGTCTTAATATTAATATTAAAAATATTTATTATTTGATATAATATATAAAATATGTGTAGTCTATTGACTCACGCCAAATACGACCAAGTTGAGTGCTGAGTTTCTGCTGATCTGCCCCGTGTCGTTGTCGATGGTGTCAATTTGGGTCAGGGGGTACGCAGCACAAGTTATACTGCCTAAACATAACGTATGCCGTTGTATTATCTCATTATTAGTAAATCACAAGGAAGCATCAAACATTCAAATTTGCAAATAACTTATGTAAATATAAATATATTATTCAGGTTCACCGTTACTGTTGACACATTGAATGTTGATGGTATTCTCCCGTTCAGTAATAATGAACACCTTTGGATGCCATTTAAAACATAATATACCATATATGAACAMTTAAGAAGTTATTTTAATATTTTAACGTGACATAACATATATGAATAAATTATAAAACAATAATAATCAAGTCTTACACGTAAGTAATTTAATTCAGTGTATTTTAAAAATTATTTTGCTGGTGCAAAATGCGAATTTCGATTAAATTTTATATTTTTATATTTTGGTCTAATGTAATGTAATTTTAAATTTTAAATACACACGTACGACTCTTCAGTTCAATACAGTATACTACAATTGAACAATAATAAATGTAAAATATATATATATATGCAAACGAAATGGTAATCCATGACTTCAATTAGCCGGCCAGAGGGCCATAGTTCAGAATTTCCGTATTTTACTTGATTGATTTCTTACAAATCTTAGCCGTTTAAAATTAGAATAGTATAAATATTTCAAAACAAAGAAGTTTAAAATTAGTATGTAATAAATATTACACGAACAGTAGCATTGTTCTGCTATAAGTAGTTATAATTCAAGTCAGAAATATTCTACACAGAAATGTACCTATTTTGCCTATATATTGCGCCGGGTTACAAAATATTGTACAAAATTAAATCTTCAAGAATACAGGGCCACAAGTCATATATGCATTTTTTAGTTATGAATACTTCTTGCTTTACTTGTTAGGATAATAAGTACATAATATTTTATTTATATAATTAACAT